TGCTGCCCAAGGGGACAAACGGTGAAAGGAGCACAACGAGATCCAGGAGAGTGGAATACTTGTGAATTTCAAAAGTGCAATACATAAAAATGTGATCATAATAAGTTGCACTTTGCGTGGCTTACCGTACACAAGTAGTACTTAGCTACTAAGTAGTGGAAAATAATACAGTTAATGCTTCTGTGCCAGAAGAGCGCTTGATTAAAAAGTTTTGTGGAGTTGGAGTTAGATTGTAGCACCGCATTAAAACAAAAAGTGTCATTTAGGAACAGACAGGGCAAGAGCGTGCTCAAAAACATAAAAGCAGTCACAAGAGATGTAAGCACTACCTTGAGAGACTCTAGCTCATCGTTGCTGAGGTTGGTTCTCTTGGCAGCCTCCCACAGTTCAATCACACGCGGCTCCCGAAACTCTACAGACCAGGAAGGGAAAGGCAGATGAAAAGATAAACAATCCAAAGAGACATTTTGGAGCCACAAACACTCAAGAGGAAGGCAGCTCTGAGGAGGAGCAGTCGCAGCAGATATTTCCTATCATGCAATCACAGCAACGTATCACTTTATAGAAATACACACAAAATATGAAAGAGGCAAAAAGCTCGCATTAAGAATTTAATCTTGAGGTGCTGTCACACACACTCTTCGCTCCTGAAGTGCTACAAAACTGCAAGTGTAAAAGGAAAAAAAAAAAAGAGGGGAGGGGATCAAAAACAGATTTCTGCAAGAGGAAGCAAAGATGTGAGGGGAACGAGTGGTTTAGTATGAAACAACCTGGAGGTAGAGGCGCAGCAACAGAATCATTATGGATCAGCAGAAGGTACAATGCCTTCATCTAAACTTCTCAACAACCTCCCACTGAAACCTGCACCTGCAAGTGAAGCCTAACGCAAACTCTGCAGCACACTCGACTAACAGCAGCCTTACATATCTGAGGAGTGGAGATAAAATGCACCGGTGAGTGAAATGCTTTGTCTGTTAAACAGCACAAGGCCGAGCTGTTCGACGTCACTGGGCGAATGCAGCGTAGCGAGCTGCTTTCAATGAACGTCTTTAAAAAATGCAAAACACTTAAAGCCATCAGCCGTGATACAGTAATGTGTTATTATGATTACAAATCCTAGTAATTAAGCTGATGAGATAAATGTGGCGTCTAATGGAGATGCAAAAAGAGACAAGCGGAGCGTGTGTGTGCTTTTCATGTCTCACCGCTATCTTCAGTGAAGCCCTCGTGGCTGAGCTTACGGAGGCGCTCAAAGCCCTGGTTGAGGTCTCTCATTTTGTGCTTCAGCTCTGTGTGCTTCTGCTGCAGCACGTGCTCTTTGCTATCACCCTCCAGGGAAGAGATCACGTTCTTGTGTATTTCTGTTGAGAGGAACAGATGAAAGGAAATAAAGGGGAGAAGAGGGAGAGAGGGGGCAAATTAGAAGTGAAAAGCCCGCAGGGTTGTGTGGGTGGGTGGGTTAGATAGGAGTGAGGGCAGAGGAGATGGATGGAGAAAATGAGGGATAGATGACGGAAGGGAAAAGGAAAGAGACAAAAAGTAAATTAAACTAATAAAAGATAACAAATAAAGGCAGTTTTTATTAGCAGCTTTTTACATTATTACATTAAATAACCTGTTAAAGCTTAAAGTCATTTTAGAAAACTGGCTTATTTGTCATTTATTTAGCAACTTTTTCACGAGAACCTTGAACAGCCTGTGTGGTGCTAGAAAAAGGAAAAAGCCAAACAAAGCCTAAGTGTACAGCAGCACACTGACTAAATGATAACGGTTGACATTTGAATGAAAAAAGGGGAAGAAAAAAAGAAGAGAAGCCAAACTGGATGAAAACTGAGGAAACTAGACAGGCAGTGGATGGACGTGGAGGTACTGTGGAAGTTCACAGTCACTCCCTCAAGGTAACATGTGATTGACTTAATATTTAAAAGCATCAGACAAGCAGAAGAAATACCCCCGGCTTGTGTGGCAAAAACGCAGCGCTGTGCAGCGCTATCGGGAAAGTTCTGGCACGTAACAGCTGCAAAGTGTCAAGTCACATCCGAAGAAGACGTGCCTGTCCTCCCCGTGCCTACTTGAAACACAGTGGGGCCTGTCAGCTCCTCTTAAAACTCACAGCTTGATGTGATTTGACAAGCACTGATAGAGCACAAAGTAGTGGGTGGTAACATGTGCAGTCTGATACCTGCCACCTACGTATATGACCACAAGACTGAGCAGACAGACAGAGAGTACTTCAGACTTCAACCCTATAAAACACGGGTGTGCAGAACAGCCATGGCATCTAGAAAATATTACTTTATAACCTCGTAAGCCTTATTTCTTACATTTCTTACATTTACTCCGCTTTTGTTTTTTAAAATGATTCTGATATGATCACGAACACCAGCTAGGTCTGCAGAGAATAAAATAGCAGTAAATGGCATAAAAGGGTCAATAAGAGCTGCTAAGATAGAAAGGGATATTCTGTAAGAGATCTTGAATAGACGAAGGACGAAGCAACAGAAAGGAGGACTGGGTTGAAATGCTTTTAAACCTGGCCTCAGAAAACACTAATAAAGCTAAACAGAAGTAGTGCGACACACGCGCTTGCAACGGATCAAAGGGAGTGATTCACATGGCTCACCCTCAGTCCTGCTGACGGTGTCCATGAGGATGTTGTACTCGTGGATCTTGTCCTTGTGGTGCTGGAACTCCCTCTTCAAGTTCAGCAGCTCCTCATCAGAGAACTTCCCTGAGATCTTAGCCTGGTGGGGGAAGAGGCATTAGAGATATAGAGGATTTAGTTTCAAAGGCATCAGAAGAACGAGGATCTTTTGCATGGGAAAGACTTTACTATCACAAGTAGCAGTAAAAGAATCAACGCTCAGTACAGCAGGACTGTTTGGTAAGAGTCTGAGAAGGTTTAGGCTTATTAAGTGTAGTGATTTTAATGATTACATTTATATGAATATTTTAAAGCCATTCAACTATATTGGACAAATAAAAATAGTCAGAGATTGCTCATTTTCACACAAAGACTTTAGAAAATTGGGGAGTTGGGGTCTACGGTGTGAATGCTGGGGTGAAAGAGAAGCTGAAACAGTGATGCAAGGCAGCAATCAGTGTTGTCAGTGTATGATGCAGCTCGAGTTTCCTGCTTGAACTAGCTCACGCTGCTCCCTTTGTGACTGGTTGGCCATTAAACAAGTTTAGATCTTACAGATTTGATGTAATTTGATAAATGAGTTATGAAGTTCTGGTTAGACTGAATGTATCTGTTGACTGTGTATGGAAGAAACCCCTTGAAAGTGGATTTGCTGTGTTCAGTGAAAATGATGAAATCAGAGACTCACTAAACATTTTACAAGCTTGTTACCTTGTAAAGTGTTTAGTTCTCTTGTTCTTTGTTTCTTGGAAGCCGAGTGGCACTAAGGTGATCTGAAGTTCATGTCCATAAGTTTTTATTTTTACAGGCTCTGGTAAGGTTTTTAAAGAGGAACAGCAACAGGGTTGGCATTGAAGTCCTACAGTTACACTACAAACAATGCAAGCATTAAATCAAAGCACCTTACATAAAGCAATACTTCAGTATTTTCAGAGTTATGCACACAAACACAAACCTTGTTCCAGAGTTTGTCCAGTCTGGGATCCTCAAATGCATCTTCCTCCTTGATGTCGTGATCTTTCAGTGAGTTGCTCTCCAGTGGCCGTGTGTCCCTTTTCCCATCCATCCCATACTTGGCGAGGATCACTGCATAACACAACCACAAGACTTTAAACAAACGCTGTGTTGAATTATCCTGACGTGAGCCTCTAAGGAACAACAACAGAGGCTGTATCTTGGGAGGAAGCGGGAGATAGGCAAGAGAATCTAAAGTGACTAAGACATACATATTAATCATTTAACAAGACTCTAAACCCCTTGACAGTAACTCATAAATTTCAAAGGAAACATCAAGGGGAGTAGGATCCCTAATGAAGGTAAAGAAGAAGTAGAGCCAGACCAATATATTTTTAGTGGTTATTTTATTTTCCTGGGGCCTTTCTGGGTGGAGTCCAGCTTCTTCCCACAATCCAAAGACATGCAGTTAGTAAGGTTAAATTAACTGGTAATTCTAAATTGTCCATAGGTTTGAATGCGAGTGCGAATGGTTGTCTCTCTCTGTGTTAGCCCTGTGACAAGACTGGCAACCTGTCCAGGTGTGTACCCTACCTCCCTATGGTACCAACGATAGGCTCCAGCCCCCCCGTGACCCTGACAAGGATAAGCGGAAGAGAATGAAATATGCATTTGTTGTCTAATATAAGCATATACTCTTTTCTTTCCCTGAAGAAAAGCAAAAAAGATGCTTGGTGTAATTTAAAAACTTTGTAATCACATAGTTGCTGGTGACTTAATGCATCACTGCACGTAATTTTCTCCCAAATGCGAAATTAATCACTTTCCACCAGCTTCATCCAGTTATTAGTAGTTTCATGGTCGTCACTGTAGCTAAATTTTCTTTCTTTGTCATAGTTTCTATCATATATCAGCCAAATCTACATAAACTGTGACTTAGCAGCAAAACACAGTCAGATGTTACCCTGACTGACATATGATGACAGC